CCTAAAACAGAGACACGGTTCACAGAAATGAAATAAATCACTGGTATAAAAGAGATAAAGATACTCCTAAAACCATTATAATTAATTACAGTTTCATAGATGTAAATTTAGAGTCTCCGCTGTACTAAACGTAATTTATTACTTATTTTACCTTCTCGCATTTACTTTGACACCGATGATCGTAAATTGAATATTACAGCTCAATATGAATGAAATAATGAAACTTGCCAAATATCAACATAAAGGGAGAAATTCTAACCGGAGGCGAAGAATTTGTCGTAAGAATCGATGCAGAGGCTCTGGCGACAGTTCTGGCAGAGAAATCGCGGGAGATTGGGATCCACCGGTAAGGTCCGACCCTTATCAACCATACTGTTCCCGCTCCCGCTTTTCTTCATTAAATTAAATTGTTCGATTATTTGATAGATTGATTGATTTTTCCTCCACCCAAGCAGCTATCAACGATTGATAATTGGATTATGATTTAACTTTTCTCTTTGTCAATTTGAGATAAAAGGAACGGATGAATCGTGTGCGCTTATGTAATTTTAGGGGAAAGTTTATTGAAAGCCATTCCATTACAAATTTAGTTTCATGTTGGTCCCGTAACTTTAATTTATCTCATTTTGGTCGCCTCATTTACATTTTTTGTTGAGAACTCTCCAATTGTAACACCCTATTATTTATTTTTATTCTTTTGTTTAAAAGATGCCTTTAGGTCCTTCTTGTTTGGTTTAGCTAAAAAAAGTTGATAAAAATATAAATTAAATTCAACAATTAATTTTAATTATATACATTTCATAAAATCCACAATCTTTATCAACTTTTCAACTACTTTTTTTTTTTTTTTCAATTTTTATCAAAATCGACTGAAAATCTGATTTTTAGCAAAACCAAACAAGGGTTGGATATCAAATTTGATTTAAGAAACAACAATGAAATTACAACTTTTCTAATGCAGTGTACACTGCATAAGCAAAATATTTTTTTAACCTTGTTTGGTAAAATTTACTACAAATATAGTATCCTAGAATTGGTTTCACCATAGATTTCTTTTGCCATCCTTCAGTGTTATCTCAATGATTAATGGCATTTGTGAAGAGAATACTAATTCTATATTCTTGTTAAATGATGAATATTTGGTAGGTCAACAGCATCTTATTGCATAAAACTCTGACTTGACAATGTTTAGATGAACTTTACCTCATTCTTTGATAAACTATTTCTAACTTCTGAACATATGGGAATTCTGAAAGTTATCTTCTTTGTATTCCTGCAGTTTCTGGTTATAAATGCAAGAAATCATTGCAAAAGTCACTTCTGTGGCAGCAAGTCCTTTGAAGTGAGGTTTCCTTTTCAATTACAAGGCGGACGACTCCAAAACTGTGGCTATCCCAGTTTTATCTTGGATTGCAGTATCCAGAGAAACAGGGCAGTACTCAATATTCGTTATTCTGGAGATTTTCATGTCCGCGATATGGACTACCTCAAGCAAGAAATCCAGCTTATGGACTTGAACCTTTCGTCTTCCCCTTTTATGGCAGATTATTACCAGAGTTACACTTTCCTTCGCTGTCCTTCAGATTTTACTAGATCCCGGTTCACTACCATTAACTGCCTTAGCAATTCTACAATATACGTTAGCAACTTCTTCAATGAATTTTGCCAGGGTTATGAACATGTGCACTATAATTGTTACTTTGCCAATCCCAGTTTCATGGCCATTTCAGTATCAGAAATTCCATCTGACCTCGATGATGATCTTAAATTAACATGGAATGATCCTGACTGTGTGGATTGTGAGGAAAAAGGTGGTATTTGTGGATTTGAGAACAACACCAGCAGGGAAATTCATGTTTTCTGGATCCTGGAACAGGTAATGAATTTAAGTTCTCATTGATTTTCGCTTAAAATTTTTTAAAAGTTCCTTTCGAGTATTAGGGATGGAGTCAGGATTTTTTGTCAGGGTGGGCACAATTTACCTAATAATGAATGTTGAGTTTTTGTCATGGATGTAATGATAATAAAAATATAAAACAATATTATGACAATACTAAAAATGACAGTTTATAAATTACACTTGTTCCTTTCGAGTTTTCATGCTTCGATATCGTTGTGCAATAACTTCATTATCGAACTTCAAAAATATATATTTCTCTACATAAATAATTGTGCTATCATTCATCCACTGATCACCCATCCGATTACGCAATTTATCCTTTACAAT